TTTTTTTTTTTGCGGTACACGGGCCTCTCACTGTTGTGGCCTCTCCCATTGCAGAGCACAGGCTCCGGACGCGCAGGCTCAGCAGCCACGGCCCACAGGCCCAGCCGCTCCGCGGCATGTGGGATCTTCCCAGACCGGGGCACGAACCCGCGTCCCCTGCGTCGGCAGGTGGACTCTCAACCACTGCGCCACCAGGGAAGCCCCCCTCTTAGATTTTTAATTGCCTAGAAAGCTGATGTCATTCAGTTGATGTCTAGAGAAGTTAATTGAAAAACAAGTTGTCATATATTTGGTTTAAAAAATCATTTTTCTTATAATACAGGAAACAATGTCAAGTTCTATTTCAAGGTATATCATTTACAAAAGATATTACTTCTAAGTGATAGAAAACTCTAAGTAATAGTAGTTTAGAGGTATATTTTCTCACATATCACGGAGGCTGGAATTTGGTGGCTGTTCATGTTGGTGCAGCACCTCCAATGTGCCAGGGGTGACACCTCTGCATATTTTTTTCCTTCATAGTTGCAAGATGGTGACAGAAGCCCCAAGCATAACATTTTCATGCAAGGCAGGAAGGAGGGGACAGCCTATCTGTCCCAGTAGACATTCACTTGCATCTCATTGGCCAAAACTGTGTCACATGACCGCCCCTAGCTGCAAAGGAGGTTGGGAGAGTGAGAGAAATGTTTGCAATTTGTACAGTAGAGGAGAGCCAGGGAGGGGTGAGTCAGGAAGCAGCGGTATTTGCATACCGTGTAATTAACTGTTGAAACTGTGCCTCACACTGGAAGTCCCTGAATGTTTAGACATAGTTCCATCTGCATGTTCTTCCCAAGGGTGGGTGCTGTGTTTGTAGCGAAGGCTCTTTTTGTTGGAGGAAACAGAAACCCACTCATGCTGACTCAAAAAAAGGAGGTGTTTATTTTAATAATGTCGGAAGAGATATTTATGGGGTCCACAAGAAGAACCCCTGAAGAGCCAGGCTTTATGGGAGCGAAGGTGGCTCTGGAATCCAGGCAGCCCTGAGACCAGCCATGCTGCATATGTCTCTGCCACCAGACAGCCATGTTCTTACTCCCCCAATTGCACGTTCCCAGAGAGGAATCTCATTGGCTCAACTCACCTTTTCTCCGAGGTCACAAGTGACTTCCCAGCCTGTAGACTATGTCCACTCCAGAGCCAGCGATGGGTACCATCAGCCACCCAGACCTACCCCTTTGGCAGGGCTGTGAGCAGGGCTAGTTCCTTTAGAGTCCTTTATTGCTGAGGCTGACATCTAAAATAGATCTAGCCACAGGAGGTTAAGAGGTTAAGAGAGGGAAATCTCTAGTAAATAGCAGGCGTGGAAGATACGCACATTGCCTGATATCACCCAGGATGTCAAGTGAGGTCAGCTTGGTGGAAATAATAATTACCATCTGCAGATGTCTCTCTTTTCGCCTTCATAGCAATTCTGCATGGTAAGAACCCTTATGATATAAAATGTCCAAGGGTCCCTGGAAGTTGGTGGATCCCTGCTCCCTCTATTCTGGCCAACAGAAGGATCCCTGAATTACTGCTGAAACTCCTCCTGGCCAGAGAAAACCAATAACTATTGGGTTGGCCAAAAAGTCCGTTCAGATTTTTCCGTAGCATCGTATGGAAAACCCGAACAAACTTTTTGGCCAAGCCAATACTAGACTCATGGACGTCTATATTTTCCCCCTTGGGAGGGAGGCATTTTTCAGGCATATTAAATGGTACTGTCACCTTTCCAAAAAACACAGGTGAAGTGTGACTATATGGGGGGTGAGGGCTTCTCAGGAAACACTAATAACCATTTTGCTCCTTAAAGGAGAGTGAAAACCTTCTCACCCTCCCCACCCCCATACACACACACACACACACACACACACACACACACACATTTTCTATATAAAGTGAGAAGTTTGGTTTGGTTTTCAGAAGAATGATCTCTATGCAGTTAGATTATAGATCTTCCAATCACTGTGCTCCTGTGGATCCCAAGAAGAGACTGTAGGTTTAAAACTTGGGCCAGCATGGGAGAGTCCCCGAGGACTGATGAAAAATCCCAGTTGGTTGATCAGAAACTTCATGTCACCTGTCTGGAAGTCTGGGCCAGACGATATACTTTTTTTTTTTTTATGTGCAGCATCTCATTTAATCCTCACAACAATTCTGTGAGGTGTGTATGGTTTTTATACCCATTTTACAGACCAGGAAATTGAGATCCAAGGAAGTAAATTAACTCCCCCATGGTTGTACAGTTATTAACTAACAAGATGATCCTTGTACTCAAGTTTGTCCAATTTGATCAGGCTCTGTAGGAGAGGGAAGCTGAGTTCAAGGAAATCTTTTTGGATAGTGTTGAAGGGACCCACTGAGTACTGTTTCAAGGGGCTCTGAAGAGAGTACCTCTGTCTTGGGACCTTAGTGGCCAGAGTTCCTCAGAGAAATACGGCCGGCCTCAGACTGCAGTTGTGGAAAATGATGGTGTGGTAGAAAAAGTAATTGGGAAAGACAGGACTGGCCTTCTGTGTGTGCCACCCTAGGCCAGACAGAATTGTGCAAAATGAGGTTGTGCACCTATAATTTAGCTTAATGGGTATGTAGCGTAAATCTCAAGATTCTTTTGCACGAGATTAAAATTGTTGTACATTTTAAATGCTTCCAGATGGAGAGGCCTTACCCAGAGCTAGGAAAGGGGGAGGAAGGTCCGAGGGAAGAGGGGGGAGCAGCTTGAATCAGCTCCGATGCAGGAGTGCAGAAGAAAAGATGGGTACAGGGGAACCCCACATCCCCAGTCTTGGGGCAGAAACTCCTTTTCCCTGGGTGGCAGTGATAAAGTCAGACCCTGGAGAAACAGCTAGGGGGGCTTCTGTTGGGAGCCCACAAAGCCGGGTAAATTTATTTAAACCGTCTAATAAGGAATAACTGGCTCCCTTGCTGCCTTTACTCCCCCACCTGCACCCCAAGCCTACCCTGGCTTTCTAACCATGACTTCCTAAGAACATTCCCCTGCTACGCTTCATCTTTGCCAAGCATGGATCTTTCTTTCACATTTGGGTTCTAAATTTCAAACTCAGCTCAGGCTGGTAGTTTTAACAGTCGCAAGGAAGTGGGGTATGTGTGTGTGGGGGGGTGGAATGTGATTTAGTTCTAAGAGAAAAGGCTCAAAAATCTTCTTGGAAATCAGCATTGTTCCCATTCATCATTGTAGCTCCTAATTTGACTTGATGAGTTAAATAAAAATAAATCAAAACCATGTGGATCAAATTTACGTAAAAAATGCACAGGGGTTTAAAAATTAGAGAAGCGTTTCTAGCCAAACACATTTTTGGTTTCGCTGAACACAAGGCACTGGAAAAATCTCGAGTTTGCCAAACCCAAAGAGCGGCTGCCAGGTTTGCTGAGCCTCCCACATATCTCCCCAGGTCGAAGGTAGGGAATCTCTGGCCGAGAACTGAATTCCACAGGAGGCCCCCATCAACCCAGCGCAGGTCTGTCTGCCGAGCGTAGGAAGCGTTTTGACCCTCCCCTGGTCCACGGCATCATTCCCCCATGTAACTGGGGCCTCTCCTCCATAAGGGAAACACCCCCATCAGGTCTCCCATTCCTCTCGCTCAATGAGGCTCATCACTGTTCAACCTTTGTGTATCACCCTAGAGTTCAAGTGGAGAAAGAGAGGATTTGTGAATTCAGAGTCACTCTGCACCTTCTTTTCCAGCAGTTCTCCACCCTCGTCCAGCACACACCTCATGACCTATTCCTCAGACAGCGCAGCCCAGGCCTGCAGCCTAAACTTACAGATGTTCTCTACTCCGCACCCATTTCTGGCCTGTGACAGGCCCTCCCTAGAGCTAAGATTCCTCTTAATGTCTTTCTTGCTTTCTGGCCTCTACTGCAGGACTGTGCTTGACTTTAGGCCCCTTTTGGGCTCTTGGAAGAATGAGGTCTTTTTCTGTCTGGGGGCCGGGTTGCAAAGCCAACCCCATCAACTCAGCAGTCCCCCACCTCCCGCCCCCGCCACACTGAACCACAAGGGAGCCTGATTTTCTCTTGGCTTCATTTTTCCTCTCCTTAGTGTTCAGGATTCCTATCAGCTGTTTTCTGTGACTCCAGCTCACTCATTTAGGTCATTCTTGGTTCTCTTCATCTAGATTTCATTTTTTTCTTTCATCTGAAACAGGCTTCTCTAAAAGAAGGAAGACCTTAGGCTCCAGTATCTGAACTCCCTCCCTAGCACCGGCATTACCTGGGACCTCTACAAGTTCTTTCAGCCTGCTTTCCCCTTCCTGCAGGTGGGGTGGAAATGCCTAGATTGACAAGGTGCTGGGAAAAACAAATGAGAACATCTATGGAATTGCATGGCACAGGGTCTGGTACATGGTCAGAGATGGTCAGTAAACATTAGTCTTCCTTATGCACTGGCTTCTGGAAGCCTTTGCACTTACAGGGGATTCCCAGTATTCACTTTCAGGTGAAGAGAAGAATGACTATTTTGTTTGAGACTCCCCTGTTGTCTCCCATGAAAACATGAACAATATTTAAGATCTCACGTTGACTCCTGAACATTTACGGTCTTCTGATTCTCAGTAGCTTTTCATGCCCCAAGCCAAAATCCTGTTTTGGGAACGAGCATGTTTGATTGTATTGTGTACTTTCTGCAGTCTGGCCAATTCATAAAAAAACGATATTGGTGCACAGTGATACGGGGAGATGGCTGGGCTACATTAAGTGAAACAAAATAGGATTGTATATACAAAAAGTTGATCGTAAGTAGTTAAAAATTTGTGTGCATATGTATACACATATATAAAAATGTAGGTCTTGAGAAGGAAATTTTCTCGAATGTTACAGTAATTATCTTTGGGTGGTAGAGGAGGAATTAAAAAATTCCCTAGACCCCTCAAAAATACCTTAGGAGGCAGTGTGATATTGTGGTTAGAAACTCAGACCTGGTAATCAGTCATGGGCTCAAGCTCTATCTCTTTACTTACTAGCTGGGTGATTATAAGAAAGTTACTTTACCTAAATCTCAGTGCCCTCCTCAGTAAAAAGAGGACAATAGGGTTGTTATACCCAGGAACGCAAGGAACAAGTTAAATGACATATAAAATGTACTTAAAACAGAGACTGGCATAATAAACATTAGATCGTTTATTCCATCAAGACCACAAAATCTCACTGGCTGTTTACACAGAGAGTAAACATGAGTCCAATAGTGTTTATCGAGGAGCACGCTGGGGAACATGTCCTCAAGCAATTAGAATTTTGGGCACTTGGAAGGCCAAAGAATAATCAGCCATAAACCCTGTGAGTCCTGCTTCCTAAGGGACTAGGGGAATTCAGAGAAGGGAGAGCGCGAACACCATCTAATCTGAAGAGGGAGGACAAGATAAAAGAAGGAAGCAGTAATGAGTCTGGTGTGAAGTAAAATTTGCCTTACAGAATGTTTGGAAGATTAGCTTGAAGGGCTATTAGCTATAATCAAGCGAATTATCATGGAGGGCCTAGAACTGGACCCGAGGCGGCAGATCAGGTCTTCAGCAAGGGGATCAGCATGATAAGTGAATGTGGCGGTGGAAGTCTTAGCTTGTAACAGCACGTGGATGGGGGGTGCAGAGGTAGGAAGGTGCAGACCGGGAGGCCGCCGTAGAAGTGAAACCATGTGGCAGTGAGGCTCTGAGCTGGGGCAGGGACCAGGAAAGCCAAAAGGAGGCACACGGGAGAGGCATTTCACAAAACCACATAACAAGAACTGAGGGCACACTTGAGTTTTAGAGGATGAAGCAGGGTGAAATTTTTAAAAAATTAAACTTTGCCCTCTAGCCTGTGAGAAAGGAAGAAGGTTGCTTGTTGGGGTCTGAAGAGGAAAAATAATTTTATCCTTTTTCCCTCTGAGTTTTCTGAACCAATTTAAAAAACAGACACAGGAGTCTGGGATGAAAATAACTTTATAGCGAGGATGAAGTTAGACTGGAAACCGCGGTTTGGATCTAAGACCAAAATGGACGTTTTATTCCTCACCTCCAGCCCTCAAATTAAACTTGCCTCCTGGACTGGCTCTCATCTCCCCACCCCGCCAAGGGAGGTTTTCCTGGTATTTACCTGCCGGAGGACAGGAACAGAGGGACAGGTGCTGCTTATGGACAAGTAGGGACCAAGGAGAAAACTCCAGCGGGCTCGCTGTCCCATGTCCCTTCTCACCAATCCTATAGGGAGAGGGTCCCATCACAATACAATGCCTTTGTGCCTCTGTTGACTACAGAACAACTTAGAGGCTTAACAGGAGAATTTATTATTATCTTTCATACTTCTGCGGGTTGAATGGGCTCAGCTGGGTGCTTCTCACGTGGTCACAGTTGGCTATCAGTTGGGGCTGGAGTCATCTGAAGGCTAGATGGGCTGCAAGTCCGAAACGGCTCGCTCACATGGTTGGCAGTTGATGTGGGCTGTCAGCTGAGTGTTGAGTCGAGGCAGCTACACACAGCCTCTCCATGTGGTTTTGGCTTCTCATGGCATTACTGCAGCTGGATTCTGAGAGGAAACAGCCCAAGAGGAGTGGTTTGAGAGACTGAGGCAGAAGCTACAAAGCTTTTTTTTTGTTTTTTTTCGGTACACGGGCCTCTCACTGTTGTGGCCTCTCCCGTTGCGGAGCACAGGCTCCGGACGCGCAGGCCCAGCGGCCATGGTTCACGGGCCCAGCTGCTCCGCGGCATGTGGGATCTTCCCGGACCGGGGCACGAACCCGCGTCCCCTGCATCGGCAGGCGGACTCTCAACCACTGCGCCACCAGGGAAGCGCTACAAAGCTTTTTAAGACCTAGCCCAGGAGTCCCAGAACATCACCTCTTCCACATGCTGGTGATTAAAGAAATCACTAAGGTGGGTCCATATTTGAGGAGAGGAGAACTAGAATCCACCCTTGATGAGAGGAGCAGCGTGCTTGTACGGGGAGGGAAGGAAGTGATTGATGGTGGTCATTTTGGAGACCTTCTACCATCGCCTTCCTGTAGCAGTGTCCTCCCTGCTGTGAAATCTTGAGGATTAGGGTAATCATCCTCTGTCTTTCCAGTGCAAACTAATATAAGTTGATGCATTAGTTATTTGCCTAGTTAATTAAGAAAGGAAACCTAGTTTGCAGTGTAGAGGCAGATTTACAGTGATGCTAGTTAATTAAATGTAAGTATCAGGGTCCTTCACTCAGACCAACCTTCAAGGATTTCTGGTTGTTACTGGGAAATGTAGACAGTTCTATGTGGTGAGGAGAGGCAAGGTTACAATCAGGAATCATTTCCTTGCAATCATTTCTCAAAAGAAAGGGACCTCATTTTCCATGGTTCCAGTAATGTGTTGCAATTTCTCTTCTCGTTCCTAATAAGCATTCACATTAGTATCTAAGTTTGTATTCATAATTATTTCTGTGTTCTTTTCCTTAAAGAGAGCTCCCCAGAAAAATACTGTATCATCTCACTTATACGTGGAACCAAAAACAAAACCCCCAAGTAACAACAACAAAAAACCAAAACGCAAAGAGATCAGACTTGCAGCTACCAGAGGTGGGGACAAAGGGGAATTAGAGGAAGGTGCTCAAAAGGTAAGACTCCCAGTTATAAGATAAATAACTACTAGGGATGTAATGTACAGCATGATAACTATAGTTTCCCATATATTGTACTGCTGTACAATATATGGGAAAGTAGTTAAGAGAGTAAATCCTAAGAGTTCTCATCACAAAGAAAAAAACATTTTCCTTTTCTTCTTCTCTTTTCTCTTTTTATTGCATCTATATGAGAAGATGGATGTTAGCTGAACCTACCGTGGTAATCATTTCACAATATATAAATCAAACCGTCATGCTGTATGCCTGAAATTTATACAGTGATGTATGTCAATTGTTTCTCAGTAAAGCTGGGGAAAAAAAACACTCCCCAAATTGCATAAACTTCAGGCCTTACAAACCCTGGATCCCCCTGTACAAAGGGAAAATGATGAGTTCTGTCTAAAGATACTTTGATAATTTACAGAAGCTGTATTTGGCACTTTTTTTTTAACCAGCCTTATTGAGATACAATTGGCATATGAGATTGTATAAATTTAAGATGTACAGTGTTTTGAGGTGTATACTTACATACAGTTGAGCCTTGAGCAACGTGAGTTTGAACGGCACGGTCCACTTACATATGGATTTTTTTCTATATGTTATGGAAAAAGCCAAATGAATTTTTTGGCCAACCCGATACTTCAGTACTACACAGTGAGTTTGGTTGAACCGCAGATGTAGAGGAACCGCACATACAGAGGGCTGACTATATAAGTTACATGCAGAGTTTCGGCTGCGCAGAGGGTCAGCGCCCCTAACCCCCTAGTTGTTCGAGGATCAACTGTATTGCAAAATGATTATCACGGTAGTGTTAGCAAACACCCCTATCGCATCACTAATTACCATTCCTTTTCTGTATCACTTGCAGGTATATAACACGGTATGACATACAGATTATGTATATACATTATATATAGTGTGTATATATGTGTGTGTGTGTGTACATATAATACAGTACATACACATTATATTTAACTATAATCACCATGCTGTACTTTGGATTCCCAGAACTTATTCATCTTATAACTGGAAGTTTGTGCCCTTTGACCGTCATCTCTCCATTTCTCTCCCCCCGCTCCCCCCTGAAAACCACCACTTTCCTCTATGTTCTATGAGTTCAGTTTTATGGGCAGTTTTCTGACTCTCTTCTCTAGTCCCACATGTCTGCAGCGTCTCATACATCTGCTTCTCAGTTGGGTTGATGCCCCCTTGGGGGTATATGCTCCCCTTCCATCACCACCACCACTTTGAAAATGTCTGGGGGAAAAACAATCACATGTTAAGAGTGTATAGAACTGCTTTCTTTGATTCTGGTACCATCTGACCTTATACATACAGGAGAGACTTCATGCCCTAGCCTGTCCATCTCCATCTCTAATTCTCCACTCTAGCTGTAAAAAATCACTCGTGATGTACCTGTGTGTCATCCATATGGATGGTTCCCATTAGGAGCTGTCTTGAGATTTGCTAACCAGCTATTTGAATAAAACCACAATTTGAAATTTACTTGTACACACACCAAAAAGTCTAGCTTTTGAAATTTGTGGTCACACAAGGGAAGCCAACATGTATATTGTGTCAAACATTCCTTCTCATTGGAGATTATTCCCCTCTGATCCTCTCCTGAACAGTAATAATTTCACTTGAATGTTTCTAGTGAGTATCTTTCTCTTTTTTTTGCATTAATTTATTGTATTACCTCATGTAAGAATAGTTTGAGGAGTTTGTTTAAGAATGCAAACCCCTGGAATCCACTTCCTGAAAATCTGAATCACTAGGTGTAGGGTGGGGTCCTAACAATTTTCACATTTTTAGACACTTTTGCAGCAGGTGATCCAAAGACCACTCTTTGAATAACACTGTCATAAGCTGTTCTTCGCTCTGTTTCAGGAACTTTAATAATCCTAAAGTCATCCATGCTCTAGTCCTAGATGGCACGATTCATTCTCACCATGCCTGTGGCTCCGTTCTAGGCTGGTAGGTTAGGGCTACCGCACGCCTCACTGTCTACTTGATCATAGGGCTGCCGAGACCTGGCCTGCTTGCGAGCAGCGGGGTCAACTTTGCCACGCGACAGGTATCCCATAGCCTACCAGGGCTGATAGGGTCTCCTCTTCTAAGGCAAGATACACAGTAACCTGCTCTCCTGCTCCCTGGAGATCCCTAAAATCCTGCCATTGTGAAACGAGTCCTGTGAAGTAGTAACACAGTGTCGTTATTACGTTTAGTCCCAATGGCCAAAAGTAGCATCGACAAGAATAAGGAACAGTAGTCATTTAATCATTTACACGCCGGGAGACCAGATAACCTACCCTCTCAACCGGGACATTTTTGAGAGTCAGTGGGGACACTATTAATAATTATACTGGGAAAGCAGCACAAACCCAAACTATCTCAGGCAAACAGGGATGGACGGTCACTCTGTATCTGCCTCCCCCACCTCCTAAATGGATTTGACATGACTCAGTCCGTCTACACGGCACCCGCGTACTTTCACTCACAGGCTGGGACTTCCTCTGACCCTGATCTCTGCAGACGGGCATCTTAATGGACACAAACGTAATCCTCACATGACTGACAAGCTGCACTCAAGTCCATTTGTTCACTGATCCACTCAGTGAGGCTTGGATTCTGTGGTGAACAAGCCATTGGAATCCCAGAGAAAGGAGTAGATGATAGGAGTGCCCCCATCTGTAAAGGAAATTCCTTCCTCTATAGCTTCCCTCCCAAAGTTGTAAAGTTCTGGCCTCACGTGGAGAAAATGAAAGCCTTACGCTATCGCGGCCAGCCACTGGGTACAACTTTAGACTCTCTGTACCACCTAATATCTTAGCTGGTTTAGCAGCTTTTTCAGTTATTAGATGGTATCCACCCTCAAAAGGCAAATGTTTATTTTGTCTGTAGACTCCAAAAAAAAAAAAAAGAAAAACACCAAACCTCAAGAATATCTGTGGTGCATTTCACATAGAAAATTATACTCACAGCCGCAACAACCAGCTTCTTTTGGGGTAGGAGGAACAGCCAACATATCTGTCATATTTCAATGTCCCTTGATTCATTTGCAGTCAGACGCTCTGAGGTCATGTGGCCAATCCCATCCAGGTCGAACTCATCCTGTGATGAAAGAGTCGGGGAATGGTAGAGCCATAAGCATCCCCAGTGGCCGCATCATCCTGACCTTTCCTTTCACAAAGGGAGACGCTGAAGATTTGAGAAGCCTCATCCCTTACCACTCCCCAGTGGAAATCCAGTACTGTAGCCAAGCCAAACTACGCAAAGCCACCCTAGCACACCAGCCTTCTCTCTCACCCCCAGGCGTTGGCCCCTGCAGTTCCCTCTCCGTGTAAGGTACGTGGTGCCCAAAGTCCTCCCTCCTTGATGCTCCCCATCTGGTAAATCAGTACTTCCTCATTTCATATTCCTGGCAGGTTGTCAAGAGATTTTAAAATGTGAATGAACAAAGTGGTTTTGCCTAACTACTAAGGGGCAGAGGTGGGTCTCAAACCCAAGTCTTCTGCCACCAAATTCAGTGTGTATTTCATGACATCATCTAGTGTAGATAGAATCACAACAGAGAATTCAGGTGCAGTCTTGGTGGCCTGCCAGCATGCCAGTATTGAAATAATCCACTGTGACGAAATATGCTAGAGTTTTATTTTCTTCTGGTATAAGTGCTATGTTCAGCGTTCTGCAGGTTGAGCTTTTGGGTTGGTTGGCCATGGCGGGTGGAGAGGAAAAGAGTTTGTACTCTTCTTATTTTCCACCACCTACTGGCAGCCTTTACCTTGGGGACCACCTGACTTTTCTGCCAAAACATGATTGAGAGTCCCAATCTCTGTCAATTTTAAGTGAGACTTTAGGAAATGAACACCAGGTGCCTTGAGCTCACGCTTAACTCATCTCCTTTCACCAACTAGCTTACTTTCAGGTGTATTGCCCTGAGATCAGAGCCGTAAAAAAAATAACATGCTGTGCATTAGAATTTGTAGTTCTCTTCCACATTATCTCATTTGATCTTTTTTTTTTGCGGTACGCGGGCCTCTCACTGCTGCGGCCTTTCCCGTTGCGGAGCACAGGCTCCAGACGCGCAGGCCCAGCGGCCATGGCGCACGGGCCCAGCTGCTCCGCGGCATGTGGGATCCTCCTGGACCGGGGCACGAACCCGTGTCCCCTGCATCGGCAGGCGGACTCTCAACCACTGCGCCACCAGGGAAGCCCTCTCATTTGATCTTTGTAACAGCTTTGTGAGAAAGGTAGAGTGGGTGTTATAATATTTATTTTTCTTGTAATTTTTTTTTCCATTTTTTTAAACAATGATTTCAGGGATGAGAACATTGAGAGCTAAAGAAATAAAGGACTCGTCTCCAGTCCCAAGGCTGGTTAGAAGCAGAGACCTGAAGTGAGGGCTCCTACTAACCCAGGCAGGGAGGGTTCTGCTTCTGCACACAGCCGGACCTGAGCTGCTGGCTCACCTCATCCTACCTCAAGTACTTAAACGGGAAAAAGGGTTTGGAGGACGTGCTGAGCTGATAAAGATGTGAGAGCCGTGAGGACATCCTAGACGAGCAGCCAAGACTGGGCAAATGCAAGAACTGATGGATTCTTTTAATCAGTGGCTTCAGGGGCTTCCCTGGTGACGCAGTGGTTGAGAGTCCGCCTGCCGATGCAGGGGACGTGGGTTCCTGCCCCGGTCCGGGAGGATCCCACATGCCGCGGAGCGGCTGGGCCCGTGAGCCATGGCCGCTGAGCCTGCGCGTCCGGAGCCTGTGCTCCGCAACGGGAGAGGCCACAACAGTGAGAGGCCCGCGTACCGCAAAAAAACAAAAACAAAAACAAAAAACACCAGTGGCTTCAGGAAGCAGCGTCAGCTTACAGCAGCACGAGCTCTCACAGGCCACTGAAATTTCCTCAGTAACAGAGCAAAAGGGCGAACAGATATTAGACAGGCACTGAGACAGCAGCCAGCTGAGTGGAGGCACCGCATTAAAGAGTTGTTTGTCTCCACTCCCCCGTAAAGCAGGGCCCGGTGACGACGGTAAGGGTGACTGTGCCCTAGAGTCGGGGGGCAGCTGTGAGAGCCGTCAGCACCTGGCTTCCTCAGGGGCATATACTAGCCGCGACCCTTGGTGACCCCAGGCTTCCTCCTGCTTGCCCCTCCCCTCCCGAACGCTGAGTGATTTTTGTTTATTAGCAGCTCCCCTGAGGATAGGGGACGAAATGGAAAGAGTCTGCTACTCCTGGTAAATACCAGCGCATCACAGTTCGGCGACTGCCTGGGAGCGTCGGCGTTTACAAGCTAAAACGGTTGGGTCACCACGAGCTGAGGGGGTCTTCGGAATGGATCTCATATGAATTCTTTTTCTTTTCTTACCATTTATTCTTTGTCTCAGTAAGTATGTCCCGAAGATCTAGTGGTATTTACTCTATGAAAGTTACGGCGAGGCCCACAGAAGAAGTGCAAAATGGGATCTCTGGCCTCCAGAGGTTGAGTTTGGGGGGAAGAGACGGTGACCAGCTCTCAGGGTGTTCGCTGTAAGCAGGACAAGGGTAAATGTCCAGCAAGGGAAATGCTTCCCTTGGTGGTTTATTGTGTGGTTTCCAAGAGCTAGGCTCTGTGCTCTGCTCGGGGTGGGGTGGGGGGCGGGGCAGAAACAAACAGGACAACTCAGACCTCGCCTCGGGAGCTTATTGCCTAAGACCACGTTTTCAGGGTGAGGTTCCCCCATCACTTGCATTGGAATTACCCTTGTTTACATAGGCTGATGCCTGGGCTAAGATCTACACAATCAGAATCTTTAAAGGTGGGTCCCTGAATCTTAATTAGCACGCCAAGTGAGTCTTAAATACATTAAAGTTTGAGAATAACTACTCACATGGAAGAGACAGACAAGTGAACCCAGACTGGTACAAATACGTGAGTACTGTGCTCGTGAACATGAAAGGGATTGTGTCTGCAGAGGACCAAGGAAAAGAAAGGGAAATGCTCAGGTCTTCCTCAGGGTTACTCTGGCAGCGTCCCCCTCAGCCTCTCTTCTTCACCACCCGTCTAACACTGTCCACATCCTCTTAATCCGGAGGAGTGGCAGGTCCCCAAAATGAAGGAAAGGGAGGCACAGCAAGGGACCTGTGGAAAGTCACCTCACTGGTTCAGATCTCTGTTCACATGGTGTCTTTCCAGAGACACCCGCCTTAACCACATCTTCTAAAATGGCTCTCTTGTCACTCTCCTTACCTGCCTGACTTTTCTTCAAGCACCTGTCATCTTCTGGCATTGTAATTTATTTGTGTGTCTATTGCACCTAGTTTAGAAGTTGTGAGGACTTTGTCACTTTTGTTCACAGCTGTTGGCACATAGTAAGTGCTCAATAAACATGTCATGGAGGGTCCAGGAGGGCAGATGGATCCACCCCAGCCTCATCTCTCCACGGCTCAAATTCTGTTGCGCTGAGAAACGGCAAGAGTCTCAGGATGCCCGTGGCCTTTCTTGGCAGATGGGCACGCGGGAAGGAGCCACTAGGACCCTGCCCGTGTTCTCCAGACCCCCTTCCCACAAAGGCCTTTGTAGATCGTATCTCTCCCCTCCCAGAGACTGTCTTCCTCATGTCTGAGTCCTGGGGAGCCACAGAGCCCGTTACTTTTGATGTGAAGCTTCCCGGAACATTAAGAAGCTATTTGAGGAATGGAACAGGGAGGTCCGGGGAGGCGAGTGTGGTCTGACTGAGGAGGCCCTGCAACAGCTTCGGGGAGGGAAGGTCGGGTCTCCAGAGCCCACTGGAATCCTTTGAAGCCCTAGCCGCTGGGGAGGATAAGCGTGCAGTTGGATGCCTTGCACGGCAGTCCGGCTTTTCTGAGAGCGTTTTCACAAAATGTTCTGCATCACAGGTTAATGTATAAGACACGAGTTGTAAGTGGAAAGTTGGCAAAGTCCTTTGGAAACTGGCTAAAGGGCAGGAAACAAAGGGTAGCAGTAAAAAAAAAACAAAACCTAAAAGGATGTTAATTGGGGAGTGCCTCAGGGAATAAGGTTGAGACTAGCTGTTTATTATTTACATAAAAATTGCTTGGAGAATGGTACTGAAAGGGATTTCCATGTTGGCCAAGGAAACTGCATTAGAGGGTTATGTGTGGAAATGTGAATAGTGGAATTAGGGAAGGATTCAATTTATTGATGGAAGTGAAGAGGAACATTTTATAACATGTTGCTGTTTATCAACCCACATCCGTTTTGTTGGCCAGATTTCCATTTGAATAAAACAGCTTCAGCTTAAAACAACTCAAATCTCCACGCTTTGGGGGGCCACAGAAAGCACTTGAAGAGATTTCGGCACCCTACACACAGGGCAGGTCCTGAAATGAAATGGCTGTTATCTTTGACCTTAGAAACCTCTCTTTTAAAAGGAGCTGCAGGGCAGGTGGCATCTCCTAGTTTGCTAGAAGCAGGTGCTACAAGCACCTGACATCCACATCTCCCTACCTCCCTTTATAAGAAACATTTTCTATCCTGTGGAGCTCAAAGTATCACAGAAATTTATTGTAGATCTACCCCAATAAGAAGCGAGCAGTCTTCCGTAAGCAAAGTTATTGCACACTGGAAGTAACAACACAGTGACATAGGACTTGAAATTAGGAGCCCAGGGGTGACATTTGCTATCCTCGCTATAGCCTCCCCTACGGGGTAGTCTACACAGGCATCACAGAGGCCACTGAGCCCTTGGATTCTTTGTTACAGACCAGTAGGACTCCTCCGCGGCCTCAGTAGTCAAAGTGTGGTCCAGGGACCAGCAGCATCACATGGGAGCAAGTTAGAAACGCAGGCTCTCAGGGCTTCCCTGGTGGCGCAGTGGTTGAGAATCCGCCTGCCGATGCAGGGGACACGGGTTCGTGCCCCTGTCCGGGAAGATCCCACGTGCCGCGGAGCGGCTGGGCCCGTGAGCCATGGCCGCTGAGCCTGTGCTCTGCAACGGGAGAGGCCACAACAGTGAGAGGCCCGCGTACCACAAAAAAAAAGAAAGAAAAAAGAAATGCAGCAGGCTCTCAGGCCCCACCCCAGAAGTGAATTGGAATCTCCATTTTAGTAGGGTCCCGGGCTGATTCCTGTGCACATCAGCATTTCAGAAGCACTGCTCTAAGACACCCAGGGACCACAGAAGGTAAAGCAGAGGGGATCCGGTTGCTGCTAGAGTCAAAATTGAACCACAGGAGTTCAGCAGCCTGAAGACAAAATTCTGGCGTTTGGGACTTTCCAGTCTGTTGTAAACTTAAGATTTCCCCCTCCTGTTTTCTCTAATTTGGTCTCGTAGGGCACAGTGCCTTCTCTAGAATGTACACTTCCCCTGCCTTTTGAGAGGAAGATGTTAAAAGCCAGTCCAGTCTTCCCCCGAGTGCTCCTCTCCTGAGTGCGGTCCGTGTGCTGCGCCATTAGCTAATTGTTGCCGTCTTGTTCACCAGCCACAAAGGCTGTTTTTCATTTGAGCTCATTTTCCAAAAACTCTGTGGGCAAGTGTGGGGCATTTTGTTGTTTTCTGCTGCTGGGTGTAGGCTGTTCGTCCATAGGACCAGCCCTGTGGCAGGCAGGGCGTCACTGGCCTGGGCAGACCTTCCTAAAACATAGGAGGCTTGGCTTTTGAAGATGCGGATGTGAACGTTCTGCAGGCCTCTTAGAATTGTATTCTCTCGAGATCTGAGATGACCTGACAGTGATGGTGTGTGATGGGACACGGGAACAGCTGCCTGTACTCCATCCGCCTTCCCTCCGCCTCCCTTCCCTTTCTTTCCCTTCCCCTCCCTTCCCCTGGCCTACACCTTTCACTCAGACTTGTTTTTAGAAAACAGGATAATGAGGTGGGGTTGAAAGAGTTGGAAGATTGATGAAATTGACCTGCCTTTGTCCTCAGCTCATGAAGTGGTGTAGGCAGGGGCTGGTCCCATCAAATTAGCAGGGAATAGCAATGAAATCCCAAACTCCTCTCCCTCCCATCCTGCCCGAGTAGGGGGAACATGGAGTTGTGGCCTAGTGCAAGTAAGCCTTGATTTTTATTATTATTATTTTTGCTAAGGTCACTATGTTCTTTTCTAAGAGTTGAGGGGGATGTTCAAATAGCCAAGTCATTCCAGGTACTAGAGGTGAGGACAGTCTGTTGAGACACACTTAGGAGATTCAGACTTGGCGTGTGTCCTTTGTGATTTAGGCTAGACTGAGGCTCCTCAAACCTGCGTGTAGTATCAGAGCCCCATCGTTGCATGCGATAAGTCCAGCCCCATGGGCCTCAGAGCAGGTAAGCCAAAAGGTATCAAGTGAGTACATGAAATAAAGTGTGTCTCCTTAGTCCTAAACCAATACATGCAGAGTAGCTGCCTTGGATCCTAGACTGGCCTTATCTCCCCTGCAGACTGAGAGCTCAGAAGCAGGGAAATCTGCTGTTTATCTTTATACTTAGATCACCTGGCACAGAGCAGGCCCTTAATAAATGTCTGTCGGATGGATGTGCAAAGGAAGGAAGGCAGCAAGCCTCCGGCTGCTCTTCTAGCTACCGCTGTATCTATTGTGAGTCATTGTTCCAGCCACATTTCAGGCATTACGTTTTCAGTTAATTTCTTTCTTGTCAACTATTAATTTATTGGGCTCATTCACAGTGGTGTTTGGGGCCCGATATGTCTACACAAGCAAGTCTTCAAAGGAGGCTACCCCTGGGCCACAAAGCTTGCTGTATACCCAACTGCCTTATAGCGCACACCTAAAAACCACTGGGCTGGGCGGGAAAAGGGAAGGGAAATCAGAAGCCAGTCTGCTAGGGGGCATAATGTGCTCCCAACTTCTTAAGCAAGGGGTATTGCTGTTCATTTCAGGTAAGAGTCTACGATCTCTCCAGATACGAGCATGGAGCGGATGATGTGCTGATCCTGGCCACTGATGGACTCTGGGATGTTTTATCAAATGAAGAAGTGGCAGAAGCAGTCACTCAGTTTCTCCCTAACTGTGATCCAGATGACCCTCACAGGTTTGTGCATTTCTATGATTGGAGGGTTGTTCCTCAGGCGGTCTTTCATGTGACTGAAGTAAATAATAAGCTTGCACTTTTCATCATTCATTCTGATATAGATGGTTTAGTAACCAAGCTGCAAAAGGGACTACACTTCTTATTAGAGGTACTTTCACAGCCAAATAAAAATCCTCCTTAAGTGAAACCTAGATACAGGTGGTAAAGAATTTGTTTTGTGAGATATTTCAGCAGTATATCTTTCTCAGATTCTTACTTCATATCCTACAAAGTGGGAATAACCCAAGTTGTGATCCTCCTCGTAAGAATGATAGCAAATGCTCCCAGCGTTCATTTCCATCCATTGAGGAACTGTTTCTTTCGAGAAACATTGGGAAAGGAGAGAAAGATTAAAGTAGGGATTCCTTATAGCATGATGGCCGTGTAAACATCCTAAACAACCCGAGGTGACTCAGAAGTAAACAGAAATCCCCTCTGAGGAAAGGCACCTTTCGCTTAGAACACAAGGAAATAAGTCACCGTGAGTGAAAACCAGCAGAGACAATAGAGAGCAGAGTTGGACCTGTAAATATTATTGGATTTATCAGCCAAAAAATATAAATAAATATTTTGACATGTTTCAGAAATATTTTTAAAAGCATTGAAATCATGCATAAGGTCAGAAGACTATAAATGACTGCACAGATTTTTAAAATAAAGAAATGGGACTTCTGGAGATGAAAAATATAAAAATAGGAACTACAAATTCAGTGGATTAAAAAGATTGGAGACAGTTGGACAGTACACTGATGAACTGAAAAACCGATCTGAACAATCCAGAATATGGCTCAAAGAGACAAAGAGGGAAAGGATGAAGTGAGATTGAGACTAGGAAGATAACTGAGAGGCTAAAAAGAATTGCAAAAGGAAATACTATAGAAAGTGGGAAAAAAAATACAAGTTCCAATCCAGAACTGTTGAATGATATTAAACCTAAGATCCAGAAAGCCCAACAGATCTCAAGCAGAAGAAAGAAAGAGATAATTTTAAGTAGATATTTTATAATGAAACGGAAGAATTTAAACAAAAAAGATACTAAAAGCAGCCAGAAAGACAAAACAGATACATAAGAATAGCATTTACAGTGATAGCTGACTTTTCAAAAATAACAGTAGAAGCCAAGACAGTGGAGTTGTATCTTCAGTTGGCTAAGAAAAGCAGCTCTCAATTTTTAGAATTTTTATATACAGTAAAGATACCAATAAAGAGGATGAAGTAAAAGCATTTTGAGGCAGAACAAAACTGAGAAATTTTACTGCCATCCAGCCTCCTCTGAAGAAGATTCTGTAGGATGTCCTCATATAGAAAAGGAAATGATCCCAGACGGAAGGCTGAGAAGTAAGATGGATTATTAAGCTATTAATAAATAGGTACACTTAAACATATACTAACTATATAAAAACTGCAATAAGAATGTCTAATATGTGGTTAAAAATGATAAAATACTGAATAAAAACAGCATAATAAATTGGCCAGTGGGGATAGTAATCAGCTAAAGTATGCTATGGTTCTACTTGAAAAGAGGTTAAAAGTGTTTAACTTTAGACTTGAAATGTGTTTAAATAGCTAAGAAAACGAAAGAAAGAATAGAAAGTGTAATTTTCAAACTAGTCAAACCCACATAGAATTAGAAACCAAACTTCTAAACAACTTATAAATCAAAAAATTGTAATAAAAATTAGAAATTACCAGGGCCTAAATAATAAGAATACTACATATCAAGACTTTAAAGGCTGAATTTTGAGCCTTTTTCCCCCCCTAATTTAATGAGCTATGCATAGGTGAAAAGCTCTACTCATCTCTGACCTGCCAGAAGTGACTATATTCCTTCCATATCATAAAGGAACTTTTTCCAACCCTCCCAACCTCCCAGTTCCCCAGATCACAGGGACCCTGCCCACAAGCTCCAGGCTTCTGACCACAGAAAAATAGCCCTTTAACCAAAGAGAAAGGTGTTTCTCAGAGTAAGATCTAGAAGCCTGCTTTGTGCTACTGGGCTAATTCTGCCCATATTATTCCTATAAACATGTACACAAGAATTCTTATAACTTCACGGTTCTGAGGGGCCACAGGAGTGGAGCTGTCTACTTGTGGACTGTGTCCTCTTTTCCTGCATATAGGCTGTTAGTAAACCACTGTCCTAATTTAAAAGTTTAGGTCTGCGGTCCTTATTTCAACAACAGCATCTAGATTAAGAATTAAAAACAACAGAATAAACCCAGGAAAAGTAATGGAAGGAAAAATTAAAGATAACAAAAAAGAGAACAAATATACAATAAAAATAAACAGTAAAGCCAAAATCTGTTTCTTTAAAACAACTAACACATTAGGGAAATGCAAATCAAACCACACTGACATACTACCTCACACCCATTATGCTGACTATTTAAAAACAAACGCACGAAGAGAAAAAAACAAGTGTTGGTGAGAATGTGGAGAAATTGGGACATCTTGTGCATTACTGGTGAGAATGTAAAACGGTACAGCTTCTGTGGAAAACAGTATGGTGATTAAACATATAAATATATCCATCAATTCTACTTCTGGGTATGTACACCAAAATGAGTGAAAGCAGGGACTCAAATAGGTACGTGTACACCCATGTTCATAGCAGCATTATTCACAACAGCAAAAAGGTGGAAGCAACCCAAGTGTCCACCAACAAATTAAATGAGATAAACAAAATGCGGTATATAATACAATGGAATATTAAACAGTCTTAAAAAGGAATGAAATTCTCACACACGGATGGACCTTGAAGACATTATGCTCAGTGAAATAATCTAGTCAGAGGAGGACAAACATTGTATGATTCCACTTACATGATGTCCCTAGAGTCGTCAAATTCATAGGGACAGAAAGTAGAATGGTGGTTGCCAGGCGCCGGGCCGGGGGGATAGGGAGTTGGTGTTTAATGGTTATAGCATTTCAGTTTGGGAAGAGGGGAAAGTTCTGGAGATAAACGGTGGTAGTAGTTATACAACAATGTGAATGTACTTAATGCCACAGAACTGTACACTTTAAAATGTTAATTTTTATGTTATGTGTATTTTACCACAAAAAATAATTTCTCAAAAAAAAGCAAATTGAAAAGAAAACTAACTAAAGTAGATAAATTTCCCTTAAGACTAATCAAAAACAAGGGGGTCCAGCAAATAAATAATATTAGCAATAAAAAAGAGTCATAAGAGATGCGGCAGTAATGAACCTATACATATTCTTTAATAGGAACATTGTTAAAATATTAATTTTTCCTAAATTGATCTTTAGAGTGAGTAGAATGATAACCAAAATTCCAGTGAGGTATTCATGGAACTTTGTAAGCTGATTCTGAGATATATATGGAAGAACAAAATGCCAAGAACGTTTGTGACACTTCTGTATGGGTCTTACCCTTCTAGATATTGGTACAAAATCAGAACAATTAAGATGGTGCAGAAAAATTAAAAATGGATCCTTCCCTCACACCATACACTAAAATCAAGTCCAGGCAAGTTAAGACTTAACTGTGAAAGGAAAAGTAAATACAACTTTTAGGAAATAGCATAGGAGACTATTTTTACGATCTTATAGTAGAGAAGGATTTCTTAAACAAGATACAGAAAGCACAAACAAGAAAAGATTGATAACCTTGACTACGTTAGGATTACCATCTTTGGTTCTTCAAAAGACAACATAAAGAGAATAAAATGGCAACGTGATAGCTGGGAGAAGATCTTTGCAATTTGTATAACCAAAGAGGGATTCATACCCATAAAATAGAATGAACTGTCACAGATCAATAAAGACAACACAAATAACCCAATAGAAAAATGAGCAAGTACCCAACAGTCATCACACAGAAGAAAACTAATGGCCAATAAATGTATGAAAAAAACTTCAACAGTCAGAGGAGTAGAAATAATTAAAAACATGTAGAACAACTGCAGATGGATTTGTGAATTTGTAGAAAGACTCTGAAGACGGCTTGGCATATGCATATCTTATAACCCAGAAGCTCCACTCTTAGGCCTGTACCCTGGAGCAGTGGTTCTGAAAGTGTGGTCTTTGGGTCACATGGCATCAGCATCGTCTGAGAACTTGCTAGAAATACAAATCTTCAGGCTCAACCCCAGATCTACCAAATAAAACTCCAGTGGTAGGACCCAGGGATCTGTGTTTTAACGAACAACCCAGGTGGTTTTTTTATTCTGGTGCTGGTGTAATTCAATTTATACAAAAAGATATCCACACAATTGTTTTTATTATAAGAATTGGAAGCAACCTGCATGTCCAACCATAGGATGGATAAACAAAGAATGAAATAATTCACAGTCCTCAAATGAGAATGAACCAAAGCTGTGATCTTTAACAGGGAAGAATCTCAGAGACATAATGTTGAGTTTAATAAGCCAGTCATAGAAGAATACACATATTATGATTCTAGTTACATAAAGTAGGAAGCTAATAATATATCACTTAGGGATACAGATATTAAAATTATAACAAAAAGCAAGAGAATTAACCCAAAATTTGGATAATGGTTACCTTGGGAAGAGAGGTGGCAGAGGGGAATGTGTGCTTGTGGAGAGGCCCATAGTGAGCTTCTAAGATATTTACTGGTAATGTTCTGTTCCTTTATCTACATGGTAGATATATGATTGTTCATGTTATTTATAACTGTATATCTTTTTCATACATTTGTTTGTGTGTTAGCTATGAGAGGCAGTGTAGTCTAGTGGTTAACAGTGTGGATCTAGCCAGACTGCCTGAGGTTAAATCCTGGTTCTGCCCCTTCTAGACTTTGTGACCTTTGTGACCTTGGGGAGGTTTCTTAACCTCTCCATGCCTCAGATTCCTCATCTGTAAAATGGGGGTTCCAGTAGTCCTGACCTCATCCTTATATATAAAGTGAAGTGCCTGGTATATAGTAAGCACTACTGGGTATTTGTTGTTGTTATTCTATGTTTGTTGCTATACTT